ACCCAAGTGTTATACAGCCCTCCCCTTAATTACACACTCAATCAGTTCCTCCCCAGCTCAGCAATTTGTGGTCTCTGGGCTTCCCTCCACTGCTCTTCTGTTGGTGGCGCCCAGCCTGGGCCTTGGCAAGCCTCTGAAGCTTGCCTGGGTTTCTAAGGCCACAGTACCCAGACTTGAAAGCCTCGCTGCTATTTCACACTCTATTTCCTTCCAAATTAATTCTCTGATGAATACTGTCCTTTGCAGTGATTCAGCGCAGGCTATTTCTTTACATCTTCCCTTTACCTTTGAGACTTTTAATCTTTCTCGAATGCAGACTGGCCTCTGTGGAAAGGCTGCCTCAGAGAAAAATGCCCCGATTCCCCACGGTACGCAGCCCTGCGGCACCGGCCCGGCCTCGGGCTGCTTCCTTGGGGCTGCCCTGGCCACACCTCTGATTCAAAGCACACACCTGCCTTCTTAAGAAGTCTTTGCACCCCAAGAAGCAACTCCAACTTGGGGGCATCTAGAGGGCTTCGGAATTCTAGTTTCAGCCCCCAGTATGTGAAAACACAGAATCAAACTCTGAGCAGCGACCACGTTTCTGGCGCCCTCCTGGCTGCCTGCACCTTCAGCCACTTGTCCCGCCCACCTCCAGACACAGGTGCGGCTCTGCAACATTATGGGACGTGATGTGGGTTCTCCCATAAAGGTGACAGGGTTGATGGTGGTGGGAAGGCCAGAACTCAAGTCCCCAGTGCCTTACTCCATGGCAGGTGCTTCTTTCACCATCCCTCAGTGGCTTAAGCACCTCTAAGACAGTGCACCCTCCGGTCACCCTGTTACCACCTACATCGGTGCCCAAGGTTGCCTGACTCTGTCCCAGCTGCCTGGGGGACATTCAGAAGGAAAAGCCATTTCAAAGAGGCTTCTCGAACAACAACAGAGGCAATGCCTTAGGAAACCCATGAAGTGCTTTACACGTCTGTGGGATCCCTGGGGTGATTCTGTGAGGGAGACCCATCTCAGAGTCCCGAGTCACACATGATACGGGCTTGTAACAGAAGTCAGCTGTGAACTTGCCCAAAGCCCCACGGGGAGCAGAGGCAGGGCTGGGCTCACAGCTGGTGACCCTGGCATCAGTGCTCTCGCAAGTCCGCAGACATTAGTTTGGATCTTTGCTTAAGACATCTTGAATGTAGGCCTAACTACAGGCCCCGTCCACCCAGGTGGAGAGAAAGGAGTCCTGGGAAGCCCAGGTTTTGGGGGGAAAGTGTTTCCAGAGCTCTCTCTCTCCCATACTTAAGCACCAGGTTCCTGGAGGCTGGCAGGGTAACGTGGGGTGGACTGGGGGAGGCAGGCGAGGGCTGTGTGGCCAGTCCGCTCGGCCACTAGGGGGCAGGATGTGAGCAGAGCTTCATCCGGAGAACCCCCAGCAGCAGGCAGGAGGGACTCACACTTGGCCACTGTCTCTAGCCAGCCACAGCTCTAGCCCCAACGCCAAAGAATGACACTTCCTGGCATAGAGGAAAAGAGGACTTGCTCTTCGCCCCTCTCAGCCCCCTATGTGGGTGGAGGGCAGCAACCTAGAGGGTTCCAGCTGAGCGGGGGCGCCAAGCTTCTTGCAAAGAACTGAGTGTCACACACTAAATGCAAACAGATGAGGGTGGCAGGTCCCAGTGTTCTGAAGAACGAGGGTGGGGTGGGGAACCTCTTCTTCCGCTCGAGATGGGCCCTTTCTGGTTCGGTTCCCTTTGCTGTCTTTTAAACTACCTGCATGAAACTTGTCCGAGGGGGTAGCACCAGCAGGCACGGGGCAAGTTCACTAAGGATTCGGACAGATAAAGGAGAGTTCTGGAGCCCTCAGTGAATTTGTCAGGCTTCCCAGCTCCCCACGAATCCCTACTCTTTCTCTGGGCTCTCTCTGGCCTGTGGTCTCCCCCCTCTTCTGTAGTCATACAACCCCTCCTAGTTGCCTGCGTCTCCTCGCCATTGGCGCCAAGTGATGCCGTCCTTATAGCTCCGCCTCTAGGCTCAGGTGTGCACACTTGTGCACGCCCACACCATGCTCCAGGTGTCCACAGTCAGGCACACGTGCCCCGCGCCCAAACTCCCAAGTGCCTCCTGCATAAGCACAATCAAGGCCACAGGTGACAGCCATAGAGGCCAGTGGCGCAAAAAGCCTGGGGAATCCATTTTCCCTACAGGGGACATATTGAATGAGTTATTTTGTCCAACGCCTGCCCAAGCCCAGGGCACCATGAGAAAAGCCAGGAGGGCCTCGGGAGGGTGTCAGATGAGCCCCCGTGAAGTCGGCCTGCTCCAGCAGCCCGGGGAGAGGCCAGGTCTCACCCTGCTCTATCCTGAGAGGGCCTTTATTTTGTTATCCATGGGTGAGAGTCTCTGGAAATTCTTTTAACCCTAATAGCACCCATTTTAAAGCTTTAATTAAGAGAAAGAGTCAAGATCAAAGACAGCTTAGGAGTTTACGAAGTGTTTTCACACCCATCCCAGGACAAGTTGTCAGATGGGCAAACACGGCCGCCCCTGCTGCAGAGTCGGGACCACTCAGCTCCGCGAAGTCAACGACTCGCCCGGAGTCACAGGTTGGTGAGCGGGGGAGGCAGGGCCCTGCCGGTGCCCGTGCACACGGGCACCCGCTCCTCAGTAAGGGTGGCAGCTGCGCAGTGTTCTGAGTTCCCTAGAGACTGAAGAAAACCCATCACAGCTAAGAAGTGAAAGTGGGGTAGAAACAGCAAAAGGGCAAAAAAAGGCCACCGAAGACACATTTACTCAATTAATGCTCACAACCCAACAGTCAGCACAACTGCCTCCACTTCACACGAGAAAACAGGCCCAGAGAGAAGCCAGCCTAAGGGCAGGATTTGAACCCAGGGAGCCCTCGCTTGCCTCTGTTCCATGCTGCCTCCAAGTGGTGAGCGTGCACTCTGCAGGACGCCCCCTGGGTGCCAGGCAGCAAGGCCAGGAAAGTTCTAGCACCCAGCATCCTCCCATTAAGTCTGCAGAGACCCGCTCTGCCAGGGCCTGTAGTTGGCTTTAGGGGCGCGCTGATGGCCGAAGCAGGCATCTTCCTGTTGCAGAACAGCTGCCTGGAAGAAGGCAGGGCAGGCAGGAAGGGTGGGGAGAACAAGGTGTGCGAGGGGTCTGCGAGGTCAGGGACAGGATTCCTTTCCCAAACAGGTCGGTCCTGGGTGTGCACGTGAGGCAGCGGGCGGAGCGCTGGAGAGGGTGCAGGGCCAGGTCTCAAAGGGCAACAGAGGCAGGCAGGGGGTGACCTGCTGAAGCCAGCGAGCGCCCAGGAGATGACGGGCCCACAGAGCCGGGGGGGGGGGGGGGGGAGGGTATCTCCCAGGCAGCAGCTCAGGGCTCCTCCCAGGCTGGGGACGCCCCTGAACAACGTGGAGGGTGTGTTGGGGAGCTTGCATTCTAACCAGGGAGATAAGCAAACCAACACCCAGGTAGGGCCAGGTGAATAGTAGGGCCAGGAGTATGGCTGCTAGAGCCCCTAACACCATCCTGCAGCCTGGGGGCTGAAGCCACGACCTCTGGAGACTGGAAATCTGAGGCCATTGTCAGCAGAGGTGGGGGTAGGGGGCCTTCCTTGAGGCCTCGCTCCTCGCTCAAGGAGACCGGCTCTGTGTATCTCCCCCTCGAAGGGCACCAGGTGTACTGGGTTAGCCCCGCCTTATGACCTCTTTTTACCTTAGTTACGGCTTTCGGGCCTTATCTCCACAGACTCTCAGAGCAGAGGTGCTGGGGTTGGGACTTCACACGGGAACTTTGCGGGGACAGGACACCTCTCAGGCTGAAAGCAGTGGGAAGGGCAGGGTGTGGAGTGTTTCAGGGGCTGGCAAGTGGGGTGTGGTGCCAGCAGGCACAGGGCAGGTTCACTATGGATTCGACCAAATGGTTGCAGGAGTGTCCTGGAGCCCTCAGTGGATTCTTCAGGCTTCAAGGCTCTCAGGGAGCCCAATGCACAGGCACGCCAGGCAGGGAGGCCGCCCTGATGGGCAGGGGACTCAGAAGCAGGCAGGCAGGCAGCCGAGCCGCCCAGCCCCCCACAGATCTTAGCGCTCCTCCTCTGGGCTCCCCTCTTCCATAGTCTCGCTGCTCCTCCTCCTGCTGCTGCGCTTTTATCCCCGCCTCCGGGCTCAGGTGTGCACAGGTACGCGTGCCCACACCATGCCCAGGTGTCCCCAGTCAGGCAGGCGTGCCCCGCACCCACGCTCCCCAGGGCCTTCTGCATCCACACAATCAAGGCCGCAGGTGACAGCCAGAGGCCAGTGGCGCAAAAGCCTGACTCATTCACTTACCCTAGAGAGCCTCTCCAAGAGGACAGTGAGTGGAGAGCTTGGTGCAGGAGGCGCTGGCGCGCCGTGTCCACAGCACCCGGGAGAGGGCAGAGCCGCCAAGAAGCAGAGCGTCCCCCGCAGCCTCCTGCAGGTCACCACCCAGCCGTGGCCTCGGGGCGTCAAGCCTGCCTCACCCACACACAAGGCCTCCCTCCCTCCCTGCTTACCTGGTCACTCCCACTCACCTTTCCACTCAGACCAGGACAGACGCCCCCAGGAGCCCCTGTAACCGCCCTCGCCAGCCCTGCCCGGTGGAACTCGGGGTTCTCTGGACCCAGAGAGCCCAAGATGCCCCATCACAGCATGAGATGCTGCAGTCACCAGGTTTCCTCACCCGCCACCGGAGGACGGGGCCTCTTGGCCCTTGTCAAGGCAGCCGTCAGCAGGCGCTCCGCGTGCACGCTGAGAAGGAAACAACCAACCGCGGGCCAGAACCGAGGCAGCACTTTCCAGGCCTGGGTCTCCGCCTCGTCGCAGGCGGCGCTTCTGACGCTGGGGATCGAGGCGTGAAGCAGGGAGCTCCTAGAGGTGCCTGTGGTTTTGACATTAGCCCGCTTTTCCCTCCAAGAAGAGCTGTCAATGTGCCCACAGGAAAGACACGCCTTTACCCATGTGACGTCCATTAATCCCTGCCCCCACCCCCAACACGACATCTGGAGTCATTGTGTAAAGATGTTTTATTTAAAAAATCAATACATCCCGCTTGTACGGATCAGTCACTCTCCATTTCCACGTTCCATCTGCTGGGCTTCCGAGCAGAGCGTGTGGTACTTTTCTGGGCTTAAGGTGTAAAGTGACATGGTGTTCAGGAACTTGTCCAGTGGGCAGAGTGGGTCGGAGCAACCTCTGGGCACCTGCTCCTGAGGAGAGACACGACTCAGCCGGGCCCCAAGGACCCGACCCCCGCCCTGGCCCAGCCGTGCCCCCAGGCCTGAGGAGCCTGGACCCATGGCATGTGCGTGTGTGCAGGTGACGGCCGAGGCCCACTGCCCGTCAGCTCCCGGAACAGCGCAACAGGCCCCTCCTGTCACTCTCCCGAGCTAGGAGTGCTAAGGGTTGTGTCCTCGTGGCTCTGACCCCACCCTGGGCACCGTCAGGACACAGGGGTGCTGTGTCTTGGTAACTTTCAAAACAGGCCTTCTAGTCAGGACGTGGCATCCTGGCAGAGGCACTCGGAGGAGGCTCACTGCTCCAGCATCTAGGACTGGACCGGAGCCCAAGCCCCAGCGGGCTGTCAGCCCCAGGCCCTGCCCTGGGCCTGAGCGGGGGAACTGGGGGCTGAGCAGGGGGAGGGCGCTGCACCGCCCAGGCCTCCAGGCCTTACCTGCCCCCCGTAGGAGAGCTGCACGAACCACTCCTTGGTCTCCCGGTGCTGGTACAGCTCCAGGGTCAGGTCAACGGCGAAGGGGGGCCACTTGTTGTCAAAAATCCCCAAGGCCAGTAAGAGCGGCATGAGGGTCACGTCGTGAGCCGCGTACAGGTACAGTTTTCTGCAACATGGAAGTGTTTTCCTGTAATCCTTTAGCTCAGGTCTCTGGGGATCAGGCACTGCTGGCCCCTTTTGAGGAGGAACAGCACTTGCCTCAGAAACCAGGTGACACCTCGAGATTAGTAAAACTCCTTCTAAGCTCAGGGTGTGGCGAGCCCTATTCCCACGCCCCAGGTTCTCATGAGGAGGCCCCCAGCCCCCCAGCCCTGGCCACTGCAGTAGCTCCCCTGGCCTCTGCTGTGGCCCACCCCCTCCTCCCTGGCGAGTCTCAAAGAAGGCGCAGCATCGTGGCTCCCGCCCCAGCGGCCCCCTCCCCGGGCCGCGGCCCGGACACACGGCCCCCTCCGCGGATGCACAGAGCTCTCTCCCTTGTTGGGGAAACTTGCATTTGGGGAAATGAAGCTCACATCAAAGGACTATTAATAAGCCTGATTGGCCCTCAACACATTCTCCACATGGCTTTAATTAGTAATAAAGAGTCCATTTTAATCTGTATGTGCCTGACCCCTGTAATCTCTCTCTTGGGGAAGACCAAGGATATTATTTGTTGGTCCCCAGCCTTGGAGGCCAGCGTAGCAGCTTGAGTCTCTGCCAGACGCGAGCCCAGGGTGGGGGCAAGGTGGCAAAGGCCGGGGGCGAGCACTCTCCACGCAGCTAACGGAGGGGCAGGGAAGGGCAGGATTTGCTATTCCACAGCTCGACCCGGACCCCCAGAGCATTCCTTTCCCAAACTCGCTTGCGTCTCCATCTGTCTCAAGAAGGCAAATGGGGCACTTTTCTAGTGTCAGGTGACTGACCCCCGAGGATCTTGCTGGAATGCAGATTCTGCCTCTGACCCGCCTAGCGGAGATCACGTCTGCAGGAGACGCCGGCAAGCGACCACCCGCCGGGGGCTGTGACATCATCAAGCCAGGGTGTCCAGCCTGGCCCCCGACACGTGCTCAATTAGTTAAAAAAGAGAAAATTAATTTAGGACTTTTTTAGCGAAAATAAAATTTCAGAACATGGCAGCCGGGGCATCAGAGGGAAGGTGAAAATGTCATGAACACCCAGAAGCCCCCCCCAACTCCCAGCCGCAAAGTGGGGCTGTGTGAGGTACCTGGTCATGCCGGGTGGGGTGGCAGGGTCCACGGACCTGAGCAGGTTGCCCTCTAGCAGGTGCAGGAACGGGCCCACTGACATCTGCAGATTCTCCCTAAGAAAAATGCAAGATCAGTGAGGTTAGCGGACGGGGCACACAGGACAGACGTAGGCTGCTGCTTCTGCTCTGCAGGACCTCGGGCTGAGCCGAGAAAAGACAAGCGAAGGCCAAGGGATGGCCACAGGCGGGCAGGGAGAGCCCTGGGGCTCCTGCCTGCAGCAGGAGGGCTGCCCATGCACAGACTCCATTGGGACAGACCTGCAACCGGAGGCCCCAACTGGGATGGGAGGGGCCGCGAGATGGGGGTGTGGTCACTAAATTGAGAATTAGGCCTCTAGGGGTAAAGGACAAAGTTGGGGGACAGGATGTAATGATTTCCAGGGATTCCAAAAGGCCCTTATAAGCATGACCCACAGGAACAATGTTCTAAACGCGCTCCCCGTGTGCCAGGGAACAGTCGGGAACCCAGGAACTCTGCCTCCTCCCTGGTGCTTGGATGAAAAGAACGTTCCTTATACGAGTGGCCTAAGAAGTCCAGGCAGTGCCCTCAGGGCGGGCGTCCCGGCTCCACCACTGCAGTCTCAGGCTTGTCCCACCAGGAGGCCACCACCACTCAGGGCGCCCCTGGCAGCGGGAAGCAGAGCAGGGAGATGGGGCAGTGAGCAGAGAAAGGGCTGGTCTTCATGCCGCTGACATTTTCTCAGACAGAAGAAAGGCGTCCAGGTTTCCAGAACACAGCTCTAGCAAAGGGAAGCGGGTCGCCACGACAGCTCAGACCCACCGTCAGCCCTCCTGCTGGACTGGGTAAGTGGCCACCCTCACAGTCAAGGGCTGTAGGAGCAAGGACGAGGGCAGCAGTGGATACTTTCCACAAGGCTGCGTGCAGGCCAGGCCAGGCGGGACAGCACTGGGAGGCTGTGACCATCTGTCCTTGAAGGAAAGTCAGTTTTATGAGCCCAGGGCTAACTGGAATGGAAAGGAGGCTGGACCGGGTCTTGTTAAAATGCTTTACACCTGGAGAAAGCAAAGGATGGCCTCGGCCAGTCCAACCTGCTGACCTGCCTGTTTTTGTAAATTAAGTTTCACCGGAATGCGGCCAGCGCGGCCATGCCCACTGGCGTGCAGGCCTCTGGCTGCTTTCACGTCACTCGGGCAGAGAGGAGCACTGCAGCAGAGAAGGCGCGGGCTACAAGCTGCAAATGTTTATTAAATGTGGGTGTGTGTATGTGGGGGGAGGGGTAAATCCCAGGGAGTGGTCACAAGCTGAGAGGCACAGCCGAGCCCTCCAGATGCCCCAGGCTCTCACTCTGAACTAGAGCACAGCAGCCAGAGACTCTAGCTCATAAGCAGCAGACCTCGGCATCCCTTGCCCCCTCTGCCAAGTCACTTACCCCAAAGGCACTCTGGATAATCTAAACCGACCAGAAAACGGGTTATTTTAACTTTGGGGAGGGAACCTCTCCGTGCCGTAGTCAGGAACGGGCCTTCTGAAGACAGAGCCCCCAGGATAGGGATGCAGTGAGGATGCAGGGCCGAGCATCAGAAGACCTGGTGCAAGTCCTGGGGCTGCCGCTCGTGAGCTGAGCTGGGCCATGTGGCCCACATCTCTCAGGCCCAATTTCTCCATCGATACAGCCAGGATTTGGGCCTTATCAGGGATAATGACTCCTCTCCCAGCAAGCTTGTGAACATGGTTTGTTGAGTTGTAACAAGAAGGGTCAAGTGAGCAATAATTCTTCTTCCATCAGATCACCCCACCCAAACCCTCTGAAACTCTGAACAAAAGGAAACGGTGGTTCAGAGGCACCCTACAGCGCGGAGGCTGGTGGGAAGCGCTGGGTCACCAGCCCCAGCTCCAGGAGTGTGAGCAATCGGGTCTGAGCTCCGCCGGCCAGGCCAGACGAACCCTCTTGCCCGCAAACCAGAGGCCTGACAGAAGGCTTCACGCCAGCACCGAGGCGGCCCTCACCGGTCTTCCCTTTGCAGGATGTACAAGGCCGTGTCCACCGCTCTCCTCTCGATCATCTGCGCAAACCGCCTCAGCGCGGGGCAGCTGGGGAGGCTGTGCACCTGCAGGGAGACAGGGCGGTGAGACACACTCCCACCAGCTTGGCCAGGCCGCTGGTCAGACGCCTGCCTTCTTGGTGGGGTGGGCCTGACCCCTCAAGGATCTATGTCCCCAAGTCTGCTTGAAGCTATTCCTAGAGAGCTGAAAGCCCAGGGGAAAGTCTGTCCTCCCTTTCTGAGGACGCCCCATCTATCGCAAACAAAAAACATTTGTGTGTTTTTTTGAACCTTTAAAAAAAAGATGAGTAAAATACCTGGCCAGGAATTCATAAATGTCTGTCTGGTCTTCCTTTTCCCCAAATGATCTACAAGAAGGATGCCAAGGAAGCACTTTCCAGAGATGCTGGTCTGATAGCCTTAAACATATTTACACATGAAAAGAGGCCCTCCCTGCCCTCAGGGCACAGGGCAGCTTCACTGGCACCTTCATGGAGAAACAGCACCTACAAGAGCCGGTTTGACCGCCTCTGGGTGCCTGACTTTCCAATCTAGAATTTCCATTGTGTGGTCTTTAGTATGCATTAGATTTAAAAAGATTTTATGGCTAAATAAATTTGGGGATAAAGCTGACCTAGAGATTAACCAGCTTTCCTCTCTAGAGGTTCCTCAGATTCCTTAATAGACTGCTGTGCAGAGAGACGCATCAATCCCCCTCCCATCACCTGCCCAGAGCACACTCCGGCGGCGGGTGTTCTGGGGAGCACCTCCAGGAGACTCTGAGCTAGCGTTAAATGCCCACGCTTTTAGCAGGTGCAGCAGCCTCCCTGATGGCGCCACTACTTAACTTCCACATCAACTCCATCTGCTGGTTCCACAGCTGCCTCCAAACCAGGTCTCCATGACTGCTCTCCACCCCATCTAACTCAACAGCCTGCCGCCCAGGACCCTCCCCCAGGTCCTGAACCCCCCCCCCAGGTCCCCGGCCCCCAGCCCAAGGAGAACAGTCATCACACCTGCTCAGCAGCCATGTTGTCAAGGAGGTTGAAGAAATCGATTCCATCACTGCTGGTGATACCCAATCCTTCCTTCACCTTTTTCAAATCTTCTGAGATGCCTGGCTGCAAGGAGGCAGCCTGTTTCCGGCCTCTGGCAAAGAAAAAGCAGGCCCTTATACTGTAGTGTGACTAGCAGTTTGTGTATCTCGTCCATCATCTCCAGATTATTAAATCCCATTTAATCCTCAATTACTCACTAGCATTGTGGTATTATTCCCATTTTACAGATGAGCCAACTAAGGCCCTAGGTGGTCAACTAGGTGGTCAAATGACTTATAAAAATAAGTTAGTGAGCACCAGGGCTAGGGTAAAAGCTTGGATTATCTGAATCCCACTCTAGCATCTTCTTCTATTACATCAGAAACAAAGCCGAGCAGCCCAGGGAACCTGGGAACGCTGTTCTCTTCTGCCTGTGGTGCCACACCACACAGTCTCATGCAGCCCAGAAATGACTGAGAATTGGAAGTGCCATCCGCCCCAACCGACCTATCCTACGAGGCAGCGTGTAAGAGAAGGAAAGTCTGTCTCCTGCCTGCACATCTGGGTCTGCAGGTTGATGCCTGGCTCAAGCACCCTTTAGGCAACCTGTCCAGATCACCACCTGCCTCCGCTGAGAGCCCAGGATGAAGAGGATAACGCCCTGCGATGGCAGAGCCTGCACGCTGGCTCTCCAGCTCAGCAAGTGGCTCCTCCCTGGCTTCCTGGCCTGCCACCTTGAGGGGGGCCTCCCTGCTCCCTGGGCAGCGATGTCAGACCTGAGGGTACTGCACTCCCATGCCCCCACCAGCACAGTGACCTGAGCTGGCCCTTAGTTCAGGTTAAGTCCTGCCAGCAAGGGTGGGAGGAGGCTCTCTGCCCCCACGGGCAAGCCAGAACGCAGAGCCAGTTACCTGTTTCTTTCCCGTAGACTCCTGCAGTTCAGGTAATTGGGGTACAAGACCTCAGAATTTGCTTCATCGGTGTGGATGACGATGGGCCCTGGAGGGGAGGCAGGGAGACAGGCAGGAGGCGGCTCAGCGAGCTCTTCCCAGTACTCGCCACTTCCCCATTGGCACAGACGAGTCCTCCAGGAACAGGGCACAAGGCCACCCCTTAGGACAGCGCCCATCAACGTGGTGTCCCGCACAGCCCCATGGGCAGCATCAGACGAGAGCAGGTACGATCTGGACCTGCTGTGCCTGTCCCTGACCCAGTCGGAAGCATCCCCACCCCAGGGCGTGGCCAGCACTGGGCATCCGAACAAAACGGGCTGTCCCTGACTTCATCAGAACTGGCTGACTTGCTTCCCGAAGTCCAATCCTACAGGCCCATATGGTGGCTGCCAGGACAATCTGGGAAAGCAGCGCGAGGCCACTTAGAACTCACCACCGTTCCCAAATTGAAAGCCAGCCTTCTAGACGAGCCTCCAGAAACCAAGGATTACAGTTTCCCAAGCCTGTAGCGGCCACGGCGGAGCCCTCACGCCCGCCCCTCCCAGCAGTGTGCAGAGAAGGTGCTGCACTGGCTTCCTGCGCTTTGCTCTCGCAGGGACAGTGAAGGCTGCGGGGATCCAGGTCCACAGGGCTCACGCCTGCCCTTCTGATGGCAAAAAAAACAGCCTCCACCAGCAGTTCCTTGGAATTCAGAGGTCGCTCACTGGACTGCTTCGGTGAGCTCAAGTCAGAAGAGCTACTATTCCCAAACAAACTGATGGTCAGAACCCTGGGACATTTTTTTAGTCTACGGCAACTTTACTGGAATGTAAGAACCCAGACACGCTTCCTTGGTCTGTCAGGAGAGGAAATCAGACTAAAAGGCCTAAGGACAACGCTGAGAAGTCACTTCTTTCTCTGGGGTTCAAGCTGCGCTGTATAAATCGAAGGGGTAGGAGAAATATTGGCAATTTTCAAGGGCTTCTAAGGCAGTGTAGCCCCCCCAGACCCCCCCAACATTAAATAAGGTAATAAAAGATACTGGAGGCTTCCAGAGAAGTCCAGAGCACACTCCACCTGCATGCCCTACCCCCTCCTTCTCTGCAGTTCCTTGGGCCCCTCTGAAGAATCCTGGGGTTCTGCAGAACACAATGTAAAGAGCAGCCTGGGTGATCAGAGGCCCTCCAGACAGACATGTCCTCTGAGGAGCAGCAGAGCATAAAGGTGAAGAGCATGGGTTGTGAAATCAGAGGCCAGAGTTTGAATCCCAGCTCTGCCACTTAACAGCGTTGTGTCCTTGGGAAATTCATTTAGGCCTCAGTTCTCTTATCTATAAAATGTCACTACTCACAGGACTTGAACATGGTAATATATGCCAAGCTCTTATAACAGTGTTCAGTGCATAGAGAGTCTCTAAATGTTAGAATAATAACAACTATGATTTAAGCCTCTAAAATAACACAAGATGACTCCTATTTGGTGTCTGCCATTGGTGTCTGGACACTGGGCCTACACTCCCATTTACATTGAATGACTGACAGACCCAGTGGGGGAGAGCAGCTTTCCCGTCTCTGCAGCTTTCACATAACCCTCTAGACTTTTCTAGGGTTTTACTCCTGAAACAATATCCCAGAGTCCCCCACTTCCATGAACGGGAGCACCGCTGGAGTTCTCTGCAAGTCCACTGGTGAAGGCATGAAGTGACAGATGTCACACTGGAGTCTCAAGACATCCGAGGGCAGGGCACGGAGCTGCAAGCCAAGCAGCCCTGCCAGCTGCTGGCGGTGGCACCTCCCCTCCTTGCTGGAGAGCTGGGGCAGTGCCTGCGGCCTCCCTGCAGACCAGCCTGCCGGCAGGAAACACCCTCTGACGTCGGCCATGCATTTGGAGTTTCTGAGGACAGTGATTTTCAGAAGCTAAACAAGTATCAGGTTTTCACAGGTCAGGCGCTGCGCATGATCCCTAAGCACGGGGCTCCCAAGAAGGGGTGCCTACCCGGTTTGCTGTATGTAGTTTCGCCACACACTGTTTATATTTAGCAGAAACTCCTGCCAGAATTAGCAGCAGGACCCACGCCAGCTGAGGTGAAGGCCAGCCTCCTCTGGCCCAGCGGTTCTGTTCTTTTACGGATTTTTTAAAACCTGGGGGCACCATGTCTCTATTTGAGACACCGCGAGGGCGGCTGGCAGCAGCAACAGCCTTTGCCTCGCGGCAGCACTTTACTGTGTGAACACTGGTGAGTCCCGAAGATCTGAAACTCAGATCAGCAATTAAATGCAAATTTGAGTCAATTTTACTGACAAAATGCAGCCCTTTGAGAGCCGAAGGTCCTCCGTACAGGGGGCCCACGAGGGAACGTATTCCCCACGGTCCTCGGGGACAAGAGGTCGGGCCCCGGGGTGGTCACCGGCTGAGCACACCAGAGTCAGATGACTGACCTCAGCCAGGAAAACCGGGCAGAACACGCCAGTGCCCGCCGCATGATGCAGGGAGTCCCCGCGGCCAGGGCAGCAGCGGCCGGTGGGGTGTCCCTGCCCCCTTTCTTTTTAGCAGTAGCTCCCCTAAGCAAAAAGCCGCAAGACTGGGGGTGGCACGCGGCAGGCTGATGCCCTGCTGTCCACGTCGAGGTCAGGCGGCGAGGGCAGCAGAAGGCCAGGGAGGGCCGTTCCAGCAGATGCCACAGAGGCCAGGTGCGCGGGCGAAGGGAGACCCGGGGAGAGGCAGCGAGAGAGGAGAGAGGGGACCTTGGGAGGTGAGGTGGAAAAGCTCCTCAGCAAGGGGTTGACTTTCGCACCCCAAATCTAACCTTTCTGATGTTGGAAAAGGCCAGCCAGCAAACACCGAGTGGACTCCAGATTCCGATATATGTTAGTGGAACGGACGCTGGAGGGAAAAGGCAGAGATACTCGTGAAAGGAAAACGTAATTATTTGCACCCCGTTTTATTCCACAGTGCGGCGGAGAGGTTTTCCAGGCTCCAGGAGGGAGCAACGGGCTGGGAAGAAGCTGCTCTACCTGCGGGAGGCTGCCTTGAGGGACCCAAAGGTCACGGAGGGTGACCCTCAGTGACTGCCTGCTCAGAGGACCCTACCACACAGGGCAACTGCCCCAACCACCTCGGGGACAGGGGAACCATCTGGGGCGCAGGGGACAGGATAGGTTTTCCAGGCTCAAGACCTTAAATTGGGCACGACAAGCACCCCTGGGACACTCACAAGACCTCCAGGGGGTTGTAGGTTGGTGACAGAAAGGGACGTCCTCCACATAGCTCTTCCTCAGCCTCTGTCCCAGGGCAAACATCTGCTGCATGCCCACCTTGGTCAGCTGCCCAGCAAATATGCCCCCCTGAGGTGGGGCAGAGAAGAAGAAGAATGACAAGGCCGCACGGCCTGCCCAACTGTCCGGGGGAGGCCGCGCGGCCCGAGCGCTCACCTTCAGGACAGTCCCCTCGTTCTGGGCGTCGAAAGGCGAATGTGGTTTCGGGCCACCCGTGAGACTGGTCACTGTGTAGTCAAACCGAGTTTCGGGGGGGACGTCTAACAGCTGGGGGGTCCACTCTACCTGTTTTGACCACAAAAAAACAAAAAACATTGTTTAGAAAGGTTCAGGGAACTTACAGCATTAATACCAACTGCGCTAATGAACGCAGCCCCTCCCGCGCCCTCCTGCGGGCCCCCACCAGGAGGGCTTTAGACTGCGGCAGGCTCCCGGGCCTCAGTGGTCCCGCTTTGGGCCACCCTGTTTGGCTGCGCATGCACCCACCAGGGGACGGGTGACTTTGGGTGTTTTGTGTGAAAACGACTTTATCTAGTCTCTCTCCCCTCTAGTATACACTAATTGTATTCAAGTCCCTTTCACTAAAGGTCTTACACGCTAGAGTACGATTTCTCTTGATGCAGCGGATGGCAGAACCTACTTCGAGAAGGCAGGTTTGGGGGTCCTGAGGTCCCCCTCACCCTGCCCTGTAACAAGTGCAATGGGATGGAGAAGGACAGAATTTAGGGGTGAACTTAATGTAATGTATACACACGCTGATTCTCAGCGATGCATTAGACTGGTGTAACACGACGTTATTTCAATTTAAAAAGAAAAAGTGAGAAAAATGATTACTACTAGGAAGGCAAGGTGGATGAGGAGACCCTGTTACAATGGCGCCCCACCAGGGGACACTCATCCCAGCCAGTGTTCCTACTCTCTGTGAGGATCCAGGATGCCCAGGGAGCCTTCTGGCCGGGGAGAATGTCAACAAAGTATTATTTGCATTTGTTCACCTGGGCTCCTCCTTTATAAAGGTCTTTGCCTACCACTATTAAAATTTAAATTTTTAAATTCAAAAAAATAAGTCTTCTAATTCCACAGACGAGCTTCTCTCCCTAACTTGCTGTGTCTCTCTCGATGCTACTACAATCCCCTTAGGCCCCAAACTCAAACACCTGACTCTCCCCATTGCGCTTTCTATCCCTGCGCCAAACGCTGTTGACTCTGGCTAGGAAAACAGTCACTCCCAAAGGTGGTTCTCTTATCTCACTATCACAGTGTAAAACCTATTAGCTTAGGCAAAAGCCTGTGACAGACTCACTCCCTTCTACTCCCACAGGCCACGCGCACATGCCCACCCCATTAATCATTAATTGAGCCAAACCACTTTCATCATGTCAATAGCTTTTCCTAATGTGCCAGGTAAGCATCTGTCCTTCCACTCCACCTCAGGTGTACAGCCTGAGGCTGGCTCAGGTGTACAGCCCCAGGCCTCTCTCCTCCTCCCCCACCAGACCCTGCACACCCCTCCTCTGGGCTCCCTCGCTGGGGTAGGCTGCCGCTCCTACCTGCCCATCTACCCTCTCTCCAAGATTAATGACAGCGATGGCTGATCTGAATCCCTGCAGCACTGCAATCAAAGTAACAGTTCACTCAACTTCCAATGGCTTCATTTTGTTTTAAAACTAACACTTGAAAATCCCTGCAGTGTTGATGACACCCCCTGGTGCAAATTTCCTACAGGGGTGCGGCTTCCCCACCAACAGGCAACTCCTGCACTCCTGGGGCATCCAAAATTGAGATCCATTCTGACCCTGCCTCCCCGGGACAGACTGTGGTTCCACAGGTAAAGGGCTCAATCTTCCAGGACCAACCTCCACCACACACTAGTCACAGGCCCAGGCAAGACCATGCGTCTGAACAACCGGCTGCAGATCAGAGGCCCCCAAGAAGACACCTTCACCCCACACTCACACCTCAGGTCCTCACAAACCCCAGATCTTCACCATGCTTTTGAGCAAGGCTCCTAGTGAAGCCAGATTCTCACCATTTTGCAACAGAAGACACCACTAGGCTACAAATTAGGAATAAGTGGAATTAAACTCTAACCACTGAGTGGCTTTGCCTCTCTAGGAGTGACTGTGAACGCCCTGGATTGTGTCCTGTAGTCCCTCATGATTAACCATTAACTGGCTCTGCCTGTTCCTGGGACCTTGGAGAGCTCTCCTGTCTGTCTGTGAGACCTTGGCAAAGCAAACAAAGGCCTGCAGATTGCAGGGAAAACACCCTGCTGGGAAAGGCAAACCCTTGACCAGGTCACGTGGACTTCCACACCTCCTGGGAACGGGAGGTGGGACTCCTCGTACTCCTTCACACCCCTTCACCCTTTCCAAAGTCCCAGCACTCCAGCCACTAGGGGAGCCAGTTGTTTGGGGGAGCCTATCTTGCCATCATGTTCATTAAAACTACTTCATGGGCCTCCCCAGTGGTGCAGCGGTTGAGCGCTGGGTTGTGAAGCTGCCCGCAGCCTCTGCAGCGCCGGTTTGATCCCCGGCCAGCCGGCGAGGGTCCCACATGGCGCGCAGACCTCTCCTGCTGTGCCCGCTGCTCCCCTCGGCAGTGTATTTCGTTCTATCTGCCTGTTCTGCTCCCCGCTCTGGCTCTGGTGAATCCTCTCACCCTCCCGTGCTTCTGACTGTACCCATCTTAAAATAAATAAATAAATAAATAAATAAATAAATAAATAAATAAATAAATAAATAAATCTACTTCATGTAAAGACAATTCTTGTGATTCAGAGTTTGACTTTCTGGCACGAGCAAAAGACCCAGTTTGTTTGGTGACACCAGGACACCCCATTCGGGTTCAATCATTTGCTAGCGAGGTTTGGAGAACTCAGGAAAGCCATTTGCTCCGTGGGCCACTGAGGGTTCTGTAGGATACCAATCACAGTCAGAAGAGCTGCCTGGGGTAGGTGAGGTGTAAAGCAGAGCACCACTGCCCCCCCCCCAGATCTTCACCTGTTCACCAGCCCCTCACTCTCTGCAGCCTCTTCCTCTTGGGCTACTAAGGGGCACGGGAGCGCTTCACTGCGTGATTAAGCTGGCCCTGGGCCCCTCCGCTCCCAGGAAAGCAGGGAAGGAGACTGAAATTCCCACCCTGTAGTCAGTTGGTTTCCCAGACAACCAGTCCCAACCAGAGGGGTTTTCCAAAAGTTACCTTCATTAACACAAGAGACACCTTTAACACTGTCAACACGAGAAACTCCAAGGGGAGCTATTAGTCATGAACTGTGGATCCAGACCAAATGTCTGTGAGAAATAAATTTTGGTCATAAATTTCCTATAAATTACAATATCTCACCCTCTATGTCCTATTCCACTGTATTTATCTTAGCCCCTCTCAGGAACACCCCAGGAGAGTGCCACAGAGAGCCCCAGCTGCCCTTTACACAGAAACCCCCCCTCCCCGACCACTTCCACAAGGTGTTGTCTCTGTCCCACCTGCAGTTTCTAAAACCCAAGCTGCTCCCCACTGGTGCTGCAGCAATGTTAGCAGGTGGGGTGTTCAGAACAGAGACTCCCTACGATCTTTTATTTTTTTTTAAGATTTATTTATTTATGCATACAAGAACTGGGGTACAGGCCAGAGGTGTGGGGGGTGAGAGGATTCACCAGAGACAGAGTGGAGAGCAGAACAGGCAGACTGACTGAAATATACTGCTGAGGGGAGCAGTGGGCGAGTCAGGAGAGGTCTGCTGCACCATGTGGGTAGTTCCCTGGCTGGCCAGGGGATCAAACTCGTGCTGCAGAGGCTGCAGACAGCTTCATAGGTTGCGTCTTAACCCCTTGCGCCACCAGGAAGGCCCCCTACTATCTTTTAATCATTGCTTCTTTTGAAGTTCTGACCCTATAAGCTCCCAGCATAAAATCCTTCCAGGGCTCTCAGCTGCCCCATGGCCCCAGCCTCCTCTCCACAATCCCTCTGACCACTCCTGACCGCCCCCCACCACCCTCTCAGGCCACACACTGTTTCCCGTAACATCCACCAAAACGTACACCACGGGGATCCTTGTACTTCTTGTAGGTGGCCGCAGACTCGCACTAAGCTTTCTGGCTTTTATGTAAAAGGGGAAACTTGATCAGCTCGACAAGCTTAAAGATAAAAGCAAGCCAACTGTTGAGGAGAAACACACCATTTCTAACGCTCACAGACAAATTCCTCCCAAGGGTCCTCATAAAGAGGATGGAGTAAGATAATGAACGTCTCTGCAGTCGTCACAGCAGTGAGTTCTGTGGGGCTGTTTCTCATCAGTTTCTCAACACAGAATGATAGCGTCTCACCAAAGTACATTTCTGTGAAGACAGCACTATATATAACCGGGATAGATATCTGCGTTCCAAGCAAAAGAAAAAAATCTACATAAAAATAAACAAAAGCCGTTCAGGTGTGGGTTGTAGAATGAAGCAGTAGCCCCGCCGCACACTGGCCTCACTGGGCATTTTCTTAACGCCCAAGGCCTGCCTTGGGCTGGTCACCTCCGATCTCCTGGGTTGGGACCTCAACTTGTCAAATGCTCTCCAGCCCAGGTGATTCTACAGCTCCGCCAGAGAAGTTTTAATCATGTTTGGATGTTCTGGGCCAATTAAATCAGCATTTTTTAAAGCTCCCGGTTGAGCTCAGTGTCCTACTGAGGTTGAGAACCAGCGCTCCAGCTCCAGAGGAACGCACAGATTGGCTAACCTGTTCCTCCATGCACCGCCTCCTTAATGCTGCTTCTCTTAACTGAGCTTGGGATAAGTATTATTCAACAATGAGCTGGGGGGGGGGGGAGGTGCATGAATGGGAGGGGGCGATTTTGCCACTGTCTAGAGGGGAGCTGAGGGAAATCCAAAAGCAGCCCCATATTTATCTTTTGAAAGTACGCTTGGAGGTAATCTAATGATTAGGAAAAAATGGCCAAACTAGTTCCAGAGTTTTATTCCTAGAAAACAGCTGTAATGCTTGTAAGGAAGACAGGTTAAGTCACCAGTCATTCAAACTATAAAAAAGCAACTCAATAAAACATTCAGTTTTAAACAATGTTACTTTCTGATGATTTGTGAGCTAACCAAATGATTTATCACAGATGTTTATCTATAAATCAGTCAAAACTCTGGAAACATCTACCAAAGGTAACTTTGTTTCAGAACCATTTCCAGGGAGTCTCTTCTGACCATAATTAAATGCACCCACCTAAAGTCTAGAGAAGGTGAGCAGGTGGGAGAGGTGATGTGCCTGCCTGAATTGCAAAATGAAGCCCTAGACTCAAATGCTCCATATGTTGTGGCCACACGGAAGGTATGTTGTGGCTACACGGACAGGAGATGAATGAAGCGATTCTTCTACAAGAGCTACAACCTCCCAGTCCAACATAAAGGCAGAAGATAACCATCGCACTCACTGGTCAGGAGAAAGGGCCTACAAGAATCCAGATCCTTTCCCAGGCCCTTCAGGGAGTACATATACTGTACATCCAGGCCTGGGTCTTGGAGCCTCTGCTACCGCTAATAGCTTTTCCTTAAACATGAGTCTTTTATTCCTCTGTCACTTTCCAGTCTTTCTGTAACAAGAATAAATGGAGAAGGGGGGGACACAAGAGACAGCCTATGTCCAAAATCTTAAGGAAAATCTAGAGATCTAATAAAAAAAAAAAGGCAGAGATGGGAAAAAAAATCAAAACAGAAAGTGGTTCCAGTAACAGATACAAAATGGCATAGTCATATTGACGACTAATTATTACAGAAATGGGATAATGAAACCAAGTGGTTCCCAAAGTTATTTATGTATGACCTGCCTTAGAGGTTTGATTTCACGTGTGACCAGCTTAAAAACTGGTTTTCCAGCTGTACAGTGTGAGGACACAACCTAAAGGTTTCCCAAGAGCACCTATATGGCCTGATGAGTGTGCCTGACATCAGGCTTGGACATCCTGCTGAAGGGGCTCCAACCTGGAGCTGAGCACGGAGGCCAACCAGGCAAAAGCTCCACAGGTAAGCCTGAGCGCAGGCGGGGCATCTGGTGATTTCCAGCTGCCCACTGGTCATCACAAGGACTCAGTTCTTCAACCACAGGCCTTGCACGGAAGGCCGGAGCTCTCCACCTGCTCTCTCCAGGAATCAACCCCAGGAAGCATAACCTTTCAAGCAAAATCTAACTTCTGTGCTTTAATCATAATTATCCTGACCAAAACAGGTTGATTTCAAATCACTACAGACACAAGCCTCGTCAATCTTTAACTTTTATCCTACCTCAAATCCCCTCCACCAAAATAGAAAAGAGCACCAAGACACAGCACTTGTTACCCCAAAGCCCTCAAAGGCCCCCAGTCTCCTGTAAACCCCCAGAGAGAGCTGCTAGGCGGCGTGATCCCGGCTCCAGTGGTTTCTGTCTCAAAGGTCCCCGCAACTCTCCACGAGCTTCACAACGGTCATGCAGAAGAACACGGCAGCCCTGTACCCAAGTTCACCCCAACTCATAGTTAGAAACGCAGACTCTCAGGCCCTGCCCACAATTTGAATTTTCACAAGATGCCCAGAGAATTCACAAGCCCCTAAAGCGCGCACTGCCGCGGGCTCGCTGCTCGCCGTCCCCGGGGGCGCTCCTGCAGTTCGGGGCTGCCCCACTCTGCGGGCGCCCCAGGGGGTGCGCTGGAGGGGGTGGGGGGAGCCGGGCCAGCACCTCGGCTCAAAAGTGGGGGCGGCACCGCTCCCGCGAGCTCTCGGCTCCGGGAGCCCAGCCCGAAGCCCGCCCCGGGGGCGCGATCCCCAAGGGGTGCGCCGGCCCGCGCCGCTCACCTGCTCCCGCCGGGCAGCGGCTTGAGCGGGCTGCGCGCCCCGTGTCGGAACACGACCTGCACCATCTTCAGCTCCAGCGGGCCGCGCGGCCCCCCGGGCTCGGCGCGCGCCTCCCGCCGCCGGGGCAGGCAGAGGGCCAGCGAGGCCAGCGCGCCCAGCGGCGCCCACGCGCGCGCGCCCAGGGCGCAGGGGGCCATGGCGCCCCGCGGGCTCCGGGGGCTCCGGGCGCGCCCTCCGCGCGCGCCGAGCTCAGCGGGCGCCCCGAGGTGCCCGGAGACCCGCGGGCGCGCACATGCAGCCCCCCGCGGCCCCGGCGCGGAGGGGGGACACGGGGGGCGCGCAGGTGCCGGGGGGTCCCGCCGGGCCCGGCCGGTCCCGCGCCGACGCCCCCTGCGCCCCTGAAACTTGTCCTCCGAGTTTGGCCTCCAGAACTCGGGAGGAGACAGGAACCAGCCCCGATGCCCAGACGCAGGAACTCCTCCGACCCCGGCGACCGGATCCCAGTTTTCTGCAAGAGGCGCCCCACCTCCTCGCCCACTCAGGACCCGTCCCAAGAGGGGGCGCGCGGGGCAGCACGGGAAAGCGAGTCCTGCGGGGACGCCTGTCCGCAGGCGCTGAGCAGCGGGAACTACAACTCCCACAAGGCTCCGCGGCGCGGGGCACCTTGCTCTGGGCGCTCTGTCCCCGCCCCGGCCCTGCCCCCCACCCTCGGTCCCTCTGCTGGGCGCACCCCAGGCTGAGGTGCCCGAGCCCTAGGAGGAAATTAGCACGTTTGCCGGGGTGTCAGGGTGGGAAGGTGAGGACAGGGGTAGGATTGGGTAGTGGAGATACAACTGGGAGGGTTTTGTGTTTTTTAATCTGGGGAGTATAGAAACTTCCTTCAAGTTCTGGGAGCTGGAGGGGTGGGGATGGGGTTGCTGAATCGAATAGCCAAGTCAAGTATCAAGTACTGAGTAGGTGCTTTAGTTTAACCTTCACCCGCTCTTTCTTATGTTTAGAGAGGTGCAACTCGTCGCAAACACTGTGGGTGTGGATTAGCATCCAGAATATTTCTTGTGGAAAAATCCAGGTCTTTCCTAGTGACTAGGCATTTATAAAGAATGTGATCCCTAACCACCTGCTGGTCTTGTTTCTCTTCAATATGCAGCTACTCCAAGCCTGTGTTCCAGATCCTTCTACCAAGTGCAAGCCAATCATGTGTCCACCTCAAGACAAGATCAATCTGAGAGGCATCAAGCTGAATATAGGACATCTAAACCGGCTCTTCTTCTAAATCCTATCTTTGGATCAAACTAGACTGGGAGTGAGGACAACGTACTTGCCAAGTTTGGCTTCTGATCTAAGTCTAAACTTGCTCATCTAGCAAGGAGATTCTGAATGTCCTGGGGGGAAGGAGGGTTTTGAAACAATGCACTTTGTCCCAGTTTAACCCCTGGCCTTGGATGTGGATGCAGTTTTCAGAGTTTTATTGTGTGTGCTGATGTGATTCAAAACTTAAAACCATTGTTCTATAGCCCAAGTGAGGTATTGGGAGGACCAGACAATCCTGCTTTGGAAACTACTTTGGGAACGACTGATAGAGAATCAGGAAGAGATTATTTTAGAATGGGAGAATTTTTTACAAAATGGAAGAAAATTGCCCACGGCGAGGAGATGATGAAGATGATGAGTAATTGACAGGGCAGAATCCAGAAAGAGGTGGGAGAAGGGGCAGTAAGAAAGAAGGCAGGCTCCAGCTAGGGCAGGGGTCACGTCTCTCACTGAGAGTCCCCTTGTCCGTGAAGATGGGCCAGGAGAGGTGAAGAGAGACACTGAGGCTGGAAACATTGGTACTTTCACTGCCAACAGATGATTTCCCTAGTGATAGGGTGATATTTCCAGCAAGCTTGGAAAAGACAAAACACATCCATAGTAATAGTAATAATAATAACTTATTATTACTTATTCTGGCACCTTGCTGAACCTTCTATACACAATGTGCCACCACGTCCTCACAGTAACTCAAGTGGTAGTTTCAGTCATTATTCCATAGAGAAAGAAACTGAGGTGAGAGGACAGAGAAATTAATTCACCCACGAATGCCCAGATCTTGGGCCTCCCTGGTGGCCCAGCGGCTGAGCGCTGGGTTGCCAAGCTGCCCGCAGCCTCTGCAGCGCCGGTTCGATCCCCGGCCCTGGGTGAGGGTCCCACATGGCACGCAGACTTCTTCTGCCGCCCGCTGCTCCCCTCAGCAGTGTACTTCATCAGTCTGCCTGCTCTGCTCTCTGCTCTGACTCTGGTGAATTCTCTCACCCTTTTGCGCTTCTGACTGTACCCAGTGCTTGTATAAATAAATAAATAAATAAATAAATAAAATCTTAAAAAAAAAAAAAAAAAAAGAATGCCCAGATCTTAAGTGGCAGAGCTGGATGATCTGAACTGGGACCCAGGTGCAACTGACATCTGAGTCATAGCTAAGATGTGTAAACATGTAAACATATACATAGAATACACTCCTACCAGCCAGTGTTTAGATTGGGGAGAGAGTAGTGATTTGTGTGACATTTAGCTTGGACAACACCCCTCTAACATGTGAGATTGAAACTCTGTTTTTCCTCAACCCAAATGTCCCAAAATGGATGAGTGGATCAGGATGTGGTCCATATACACAATGGAATACTATTCAGCCATCAAAAAGATAAGTTCATGCTATTCGTGGCAACATGGATGGAGCTGGAAGGGATAATGCTCAGTGAAATAGTCAGAAGGAGAAAGGTAAATAGGGATGGTTTCACCTAGAGGTGGGATATAGAGGCACCAAACAAAGGATCAGGAAGACAAAACCCTGCAAGCTGACCATAGATCTGAGGCAACCAGCAGTGGGAGAGAGGGGGAGGGTCAGAACAGGGGAGGGAAGAGCACCAGGGACTATGGTGATGACCACAGGGCTGTGGTGGTGGAAGAACTATGGGGTCCGCACCTGAGGGGAGAAATCAAATATTGTCCAAAAATGAACAATGATGTAAGAAAATAAATAAATTTATTTTTTAAAAAGGGGAAACTTTTTTCCTTCATTACTTCTCACTGGTAAGTTTCATTCTTCCTACCGTCTCCTCAGTCCTGATCGATGACTTTGAGGTGTTTTTTTCTGCAGCATCATTTGGAACGCTTTCTGTTGCAAGTGGCAGGAGACTTGACTTAAGCTGGTTTAACTGGGGGAAAAAAGCATTGACTTGGCTGTATAATTAGAAACTTCAGGAGAATTGCCTCAGCTTTAGCAGGGTGGAAGCCCAGACGACACCCATCCCTGGCTTCTTCGGCAGCCCCCCTCCATCTCCTTCTCATCTGGCTGTTTCCTCACATGCCCGGTGACTCTGGCTTGCCCCCAGGCGGCCAATGTCAGGAGAAATTTTACCCTCGTCTGGACACAAAGGCCTTCTCTCCTCCTCCCCATCCCAGACAAACGAAAATCCTGGGGCTCAGAATCATTTGCCAGATTTGGGACACATGTTTAGCTCCTGAACAAATCATTTCCAAAGATCCTTGGAGTTTGGGGGGATAGAGGGTCAGATCCATCCAAATCACATGAGCTACAATTCTTTAAAGCAAGCTCAGAGAACTACTCTGACTAAAGCGAAGACCAGGTGGATAGATGATTAGCTGCAGCAACAGATGTCTTCCATGCCTTTCTCCTGTTCCCACCCCTCATTAATCAACTTGCTCTGTGCTGTGGCAGGAGTCGCACTGAAGCCCCTGACCTTTGGACCGAGAGGTGGGCTTGATACTCTCCATAGCTCTCAGGCACGCACGACTCGAGCAGGATGTGCCTGTGTCCATGTCTATACATCTTTGTCGTCTCCTCGTTTAAACATCTTTATTGACTCCCATTGCCTGAAGAAGAATGATTTATAATATCAGAGCGCAGAAGCCCCTGACTCTGGCCATGCTTGTTGTTTTAATGTCCTGGAGGACTGATTGAATTTGGGAGTTTTAAAATCTGAAGCATTTATGTCTCGAAACATACCAGAGACGTGCTTCATTACAATTCCGAATCAAATATATGTGAACTTGTTTAGAAAGTCATCTTCTACACTGCCATGATCCTCACGTAAAAACAGAAAAATGAAACCACCCAAGCAAAACTTCTAAAGCAAGAATAATCCTTATCCATTACAAAGACTGTCCAACAAATGGGATAGGAACAGAACACTATTGGTATTAATACGGTTTCTGCAGGGCCTCGCTGGTGGCTCAAGGGGTTAAGTCTCAGCACCATGAAGCTTTCAGCAGCCACTGCAACATGAGTTTGATCCCTGGGCAGGGAGCTGACCCACATGGCGCAGCAGACCCCTCCTACCTCGACTGCTGCTCCCCTCAGCAGTGTGTATCAGTAGCTCTGCCTGTTCTGCTCCCCACTCTGTCTCTGGGGAATCCTCTCATTCCCCCGCCACACACACACACACCTTTGGCCTATACCCCAGTTCTTGTATACATAAATACATAAAATAAATCTTTAACAATAAATAAACAATATGGTTTCTGCATTAGAATTCTTATTTGTGTGCAATGAGCTAGGAAGATGAAGACAGATATCATCTTTGAACCCAAAATAATACTAATACTAACGCTACTATTGGTAATACTGCTTATTGTCAGTTAAAGTTGTCCCTGCAAAGAAATAAAACATTGCCCTCCCCCACAATCTCAGTTATCAATCAAGTGTAGAAGTGTTTGAAGAGAATGGGCTAGAGAAAAATAATTAAGAGCAATTTATAACTATTTCCTAATCACTCCCTTAACCAGCATAGATTCAGAAAAAAATATTCAGCAGCTGAAAGTTGTTCACAGTTCAGCGATGGCTGATAAACTCGCTTTTCAAAAAATTCATAATTTTACTTCATTCCAGTCCCAGTTAAACTTTATGGAGTCCTTACTTCAAGCACTATTTTGTTTTCCTATTAAAATGATACATTCAGTATGCATTTCAGCATTTTTACATTTTACTTATGCTTAGGGTTTTATTTATTTGGAGTATAGTTAGTAATTCATTTTACTGGTCTCCAGTACTTAAACTGTATTATGTGAAATAAATACTGAAATTTTACTCCAGTATTTAAAAGACGCTCTCATTTGGAACGGGGCGTCCAGTAAGAGCAGCTCTGGTACAGCCGGGTTTGGGTTCAAAGGAAAAGAGAAAAACTCATGGTGATTTCAAAGT